TGCTTTCATTAATCAAAATTTTATCTCCAAAACCCTGATAAAACTGCACTTGTCCAATTCAGCTATAACCTTCATTCTGTTAAACCCAATAGTGAGTTCTTAGACTTCATCTTATTTGATATATCATCATCGTTAGAATTCATTTATCATGCCTTTTTTTTTTCTTCTAAAATACTAACATCACTTAGCTTCCAAAATAGCAAACTCTACTGGATATTTCCCTAATTCTCACTGGTCGTGTCTCAGTTTTTTTGCTGGTTACTATTATCTAGTTTTTAAATTATTCTAATCTTTCACATTAATGGGTGAACGCATTTACTCTCCTAGCTTAAGGGGTTTTTATTTTTAAAAAAATGAAGACGTAAAAATACATTGTAGAAACTTTAGGTTATACTCTAAACTGATAAATTCAACTGTCTTCTCAATACTTGCCTAGCAAGACTAAAAGGCATTCACGTACACTGAGTGGCCAGATTATTATGACTGACCAGATTATTATGACCACACCATCAGTACTATGTTGGGCCACCTCTTGCCTTCAATACTTGCAGCGATTCTCCTTGGCATTGACTCCACGAGATGTTGAAAGGTGATGCGAGGAATCTGACACCATGCCTGAAGAATAACACTGTCCAGTTCTGTGAGATTTGATGGTTGTGGAACCAGCTGCCTGATGGCTCTTTTAACTTCATCCCACAAATCAATTGGATGATTGAGATCTGGTGATTGTGGGGGCCACCTAAGCAAGGTAAAGTCTCCCTCATGTTCTTGAAACCACTCCTGCACAATACGAGCACCGTGGCATGGCGCATTGTCTTGTTGGAAGAAGCCATCTCCATTGGGATACGCCATCAACATGATAGGATGAACTTGATCAGCAACGATACTTAGGTATGTTGTGCTATTCAGACATTTATAATGATCTGGCTCTCTAGCAACTTCAGCAGGAAATTATAGCTAATTTGCCTACAAACGTCAGGTGGTCACAAAAATCTGGCCACTCAGTGTATATTATAACAAAACCAACTTTTTCTCGCCCCTAATTTTCATACCTATGTAAATGGCACATTTATTCTTTCAGTTGTTCAATGCAAAACACTTGCCTACAATTATCCATTCTCTGTGCCTCATATACACTCTCTCAGCAGATTATGCCAGCTCTTCTTTCAAAATATATGTATAAAAAATATAACTTTTCTCACAATACCCACACCTATCTCTTGAAACCAGCGATCCTGCTTCATTGTGTGACAGTATGTGTGGAGTATTGCAAACCATGGAAGTTCACCCAGGGCCCAAATTCAGAGATTGATTGTGGCACCATCATCTAGGCCAGTGATGGCGAACCTATGACACACGTGTCAGAGGTGACACGTGAACTCATTTTTGTGGTTGATTTTTCTTTATTAAATGGCATGTAAGTATATAAAATAAATATCAAAAATATAAATCTTTGTTTTACTATGGTTGCAAATATAAAAAAATTTCTATATGTGACACGGCACTAGAGTTAAGTTAGGTTTTTTCAAAATGCTGACACGCCGAACTCAAAAGGTTTGCCATCACTGATCTAGGCTCTACCATTAGGAAGTCTTCTGATTTCCCATGTGATTGATCTCAATCTCTAGCCCTTTAAGGGGTCAGATAATACTCTGTATTACAAAGCCTTACCCTAAGTCACATGGCTACCTTCTGGTGTGGCCAGTCCCTACCTGTTCTATCTGAAATGTACAGCACCCATTCTAAATTGCATTACGTTATTCACTGTGACCCATATCCCAAACAAGCAAAGATACTTCAATCAGGCATGATAAAAGATATGCCAGTGGGGCATATTTTAAGGGAATTGAGATTATCTTCCAGAAGTTGAGGGCTAAGGTCAATCAATTCTTCAATGCACCATATATTTGTGTGTATACAACCATATATATAAAGTGTTCATTCTTCAGGTGGATGCAATCAACAGAAATCAAGTTATGAAGATTCCCAATGAAATGTAGGAACCTGATAGGATCATATTCATCTACAGGAAAATAAATTTATAGATATAAGTTCAGAAGATAACCCAAGAAAGATGCATTCTGAGAAGTTTGATCACAGTGCTATGATAGTTACATATAAGAATCTGATAAAGACAAGAAACATGATGTTGCCTAGGAGCAACCAACTAGGTATCAATTAATTAAATTTATTTTAAAAATCATGGCATCTTTATTTTTTTTGCTTCTTCTGTTTGAACATTAGCAGGAACATTTTCTTCCTAACTAAAACAATTATGCAAGTGTGTAGAGTCAATAAAGTGCTCTCTGTACCCTCAAAATTGGTGAGCAGCTATGATACTCATAAACCAAGAAGCAAGCAAGTGTTGTTGCCTGTAATCAAGGGTCTAGTCTTGTCATATTCCACATGACTATCTTCTGAGGCAGCAGGAACCTAAGCATAACCTATACTCCTTGAGAGGTAAACAAGAATGACCAAATATAAAGACCAGCAGGAATATAAATATTAACATTTAGTGTAAACCCGTACTGTCACTAAAGATATGTTAAAGTCAGCAAAGAAGTAAATTCCAATGGAACAATAAATAAGGCAAGTATAGTAAAAATTTAATGAGTGTAATTAACATGTGGATAGGTAGTAAAGTGGACATTGAACTTAAAAAAAGTAACTGGAAATTTTGTGAAATTAATATACAAATATTAACTTTTAAAATTAAAGAAGGATAAATAAAAAAATAAACATTTATAGCATTAAAACTAGCCTTACAAGTAAAATGTGAAAAGTAAATTACTAGCTAAAATTGTGGAGAATTATATTTTTAATAGAATGTGGTATAAAAGCAACACAGTATGGAAAAGAATGAGTGACAAGTTAAGAGATAACATGCATGTAGTACAAAAGTCCCAGAAGGTATTTAATTAATTTCTATCATGGGGAAGAAGAAAGTTTGGAAGAGAAAAATACTCAATAAGGTAGTAAAAGAAATATTCCTAGAGATGAAAAAAAGATGCCACATTCATATATAAATGGCAGAGTAGTGGTCCCTGTACCAATCCAGAGGTAATTCTTCAGATACTTGATTTTTAGTTGTAACTATCATTCATATAATCTCCATATAGTTACATAACCTACAGGCTAAGATCTATTACAAAAGACAAAGGGAAATGAATGACTTAGTGTAATTCATCCTGCTCAAAATTAATAATGTAAATTAATAAGGTAAAACTGGGATAATCTCAAAAGTTAGTGACAGCATACAAGACTTTAAAGACCCACAAAAGGTGGTTCTTATCACAACTCCAATTAACTCTCCAATTTGAACTAGGTTGAATATGGTTATTTCCTAGAAATTAATGCTGAATTATTATAAACACATTGAGTTGCTGTCTTACACAGATGCTTTCCCAGACTGGCTTTTTCTGGGAGCAAATAAATTTAGCCTCTGCTTCAAGGTATGCAACTTTTATCTGGAAAATGCTTTAGACTTTATCCCATAAACAGAAACCACCAAAGCAGGTTTTCCTTTATTTGACAGAGAAAATAGTAAATCAAATCAGACACACAAGTAAAAGTCCTTAGTTAATATCAGGGCCATTCAATATAACTTTCATCCAACAAACTTTTCCTTTATTTGACAGAGAAAATAGTAAATCAAATCCCCAGACACACAAGTAAAAGTCCTTAGTTAATATCAGGACCATTCAATATAACTTTCATCCAACAAATTCATTTTACTAAAAGAAAGTGTCAATGGGCTGATGATATACTTACTTTATCATAATTAAGATGCTTTATTTAAGAAAGTTGTAGTGAAGATGGAGAAAGAAGAGAAGGAAAAAAAAATGGAAGAGAAGCCAAATTAGATAGAATTACATAAAGGTGAAAAAAATATAATTGAATAAGAATACCATTTTTCTGTCTTTCACAATAATGATCTATAATAATAAAAGCGTAATATGCTAATTAGACCAGACATCCTTCCAGACGAAGCTGGGGCTGTGAGGGAAGCCTGGGTCCTGGGTGCCAGAGGGAAGCCAGTGCTGGCAGCCAAGGGAAGAAAGGCCTACTCTTACACGAATTTTGTGCATCGGGCCTCTAGTTTCTTTATATAGACACTACATTTCTTTTTATTTAGTCGATTTTATTTACAGCTTGTTTTTTTTACATTTCAGAGCATTACACAATTGCATTTTCTCATTTTCTGACCTGCAAACAGATACCTTAAATGGAAATATTTTTTAAAGTTATCAAATTAGGTACATCCAAAAGGCAATAATTACACATATGACAATTCACAAAGTGTAATTCATTAGGACGTATCCTAAGAATTTAGGAACAGCCAGTCAGGAGTAATCTGACCAAATTTAGCAACCAACTATTTACATATCCAAAGATAAACAAACCTATCTGATCTCCCAAACCAGAAGTTGGAAAGTTTTTGTTAAATCCTCATTGAACAAAGGAGAGAGAGAGTGATGATTCAAACCTAGCCAGCCTTAACAATCTTAATCCCAAACACTGAGCTATTTCCCCAGTCCGAAACCGAATAGCAAGCATCTGTTTGTCAAACACCTAAATATCAAGCTCTTGCATCATTATGCACATAGAAAGGTTAAGTGTTCATTAATTTAAAAACAAGTAGTCATTAAATATCCACACTATTTCCCCCAGCTCAGCAGCCCTTACTACAATCCCAAATATGCAACCTGTGTCACATAGTGACAGGCTAGATTCTATTTATATATAGTATATATGTATATACACACACATATTTCTGTGTATATATGTACACATACACACAGTACTAGGTACAAATGGCAATAGTCCCTGCAAAAATTCATTTTCAGTTGAGGCTATGGCTCCTGTGCCTTTGGGTGGTTTTAGACTTTAAAACTGAAAAATACTACTAAAATCTCACAACCTTACGACAAAATTTGATTGCTTGTTCAGTTTAGCTTCTCAGTCTAAAAATGGCTATAAGGTAAGTTTTTATTTAAAGGAAAAAAAAGCAGCCGATTGAGTTCAATTTCTCTCTCCAATTTGGCCAGGCTATTTTGCAGAAGTTCCTCCTAACTAGACTAGAAAAATCTGTGGTACCTTTCAATGGTTCTTGCCTACCTTACTGTCCGTGTTCACGTTTCAAATTGTGTCAACAGAGCCCGTACTTCCGGGGTCAGCTGCTTGGCAGCCTTAGCTGCCTCTGTGATAGCCTTGCGATACAGGCCCTTTCTCTTCTTATTAAAGCGTGACTGGAAGTTTTCTAAAAAGGGGGACAGTTGCGATAGAGCAAGGAAAGATGTTGTTGGAGACCCGAACCATGAAATACGGGCCTCCTGTCGAACTAAGAGGCCGTTATCTTTCCGACTCACAGTTATAGTAAGAATACGGGCTGGCCACCAAGGGAAGCCATATATCTTGGCCCAAACAATGTCCCCTGCACATATGGTCCTGCCATCTGGTGTGACGCATTTAGAGACGTTTTTGGAAAAGACTTTCATTTTCAAGGAATTACTGAGCTTTTTCTCTTCCTTTGAAGAAGAGGATGTGGAGGAGGTGGAAGGTGCATGCATACTGCCTGGAGGAAAATCAAAGCTTTCAGAAGAACTACACTCAGAGTTGGAGGATTTCAAATCATCTGTGCTATCAATGCTACACACTGATGCACTGGAAGAGTCAGATTTCTTTTGATTTAGGGTCATGTAAACAGAGATATTGCTTTTGCTGCCCTTTTTGCCCAGTGTCTGTGGTTCCTGCTCACCAGGTACAAGCACTTCATTTGTGTCCTGAACCTCACTGTTGGCCTCTTCAGGGCCTTTTGAGGGACTCTGATTTTCTGAAGGGGCCTCACCTGCTGAGCGGGTAGAGGTGCAACGAGACTGGGGCTTGGGTGCCAGCTTGCCACTCCGCATTTTCTCAAGTCCCGTCTTCAGAGAAGAGTCATTTTCTTCATTCCTGTACCTTTGTGGTTTTAAACGAACCCGGGGTGGAAGGGAACCTGAGCTAGGATTCTGATATCGACGTGTGAAGTGGACTTTTGAATGTGCATTTCTGGATGCAGAGGTTTCACTTTGCTTCTTTTGTGCCTTTTCTTTGGCAATTTTCAACACTTCCCGAGCTTTTGCATGATCCATGTTCTTACTCTGGAGCACTTTTTTAGTATTTAACTGAACTTTTGATGTCTTCGCCTGAGCAGGAACTTTGACTACTCTACCTCTGCTGTGAGCAATATTTGAAACCTTAACCACAGCATTTCTTTTCTGGCTTTCATTTTGTTTTTCCCCATCCACTTTATGGTCAGCTTTCACTTTTTGTTCACAGTAGTTACACTTTCATTTCTCCATTTTCTATCTTCATATTTAGAAGAGTCACTTGCACTACTACCTTTTCTAATTTCCTTTTTTTTTCAGCAACAACACTGTTTTTACATTTGTCACATAGGACTTGCCTGGGTCGTAGTTTAATAGCATTCATTATTGAAGTAGGTTTTTCCCTGTACATTTTTCGTTTGGGTCGCTTAATTTTCCCAGGAGTGGCTGAGGTATTGATTGGTTATATGTGTCCCTGATAAACAAAGGGGGCGGGTAAGGTGCTCCTTCGTGGAAGAGTGGTGGTGGTTTGGAAGTCCGCAGGCTTTCAGCCAAGCTCGGCTCAGGTGGCGGGACAGGAGAAGGGTTGTCGGGAACAGCACCATTCACTTCACACTTGACTTCTGTCCCTTCTCGGAATGTATTACTTTGGAGCTGCATGGCTTCAGGGTTATCCTTATATTCCCTTTTGGTAAATACTGTCACAGGGATCCCGTGGGGCCCAAACTAAAATAAGCCATTTCCAAACAGGTGAGATACCATCCGTGTGTGTGCTGTTGCAGGAAACAGAATGGAGAGCCGTGAATGGGAGTCTGCACTTCATATCTTTTGGACAGATCCATGAGGACCCTGGGGAAGAGCTTCTCCCCAAGGCGGAACGACACGACGAGTGCGTCCTCAGTGATGTGGTCCAGCGTGACCTGCACCTCTGAGCCGGGGATGAGCTGCGGGCTGGGCAGCGGCGGCTCCTGGCGCTCCTCGGGAGCCAGGGCTGGTCAGGCAGCGGTGCGGGGGAAGGGGGAAGGTCAGGCCCTCAGGCTGCGAGCAAGCTCCTCCGGTGGCTCGAGTGGTGACTTGTTGGCCTGAGAAGCGGATGGCTGTCCCGTTGGCCTCGCCCACCGGCACAGATGCTTCAGTGGCTGTGACCGGGAGGGTGTCAGTACCGGCCTCGCTACCAGGGATGGGCTCCATCTCTGCTCGGCCTCGCCGTCGCCCCTCTCCCCGGGGGACGCTGTAGTTGCTGCTGCCTCTGCAGCCACAGCCCGCCATTTTTTTCCTCTACATTTTGTTTTTAATTCATTTTATGTGCGTAAGTATTTATAGCTTATCTAATAAAAGACAAAAAGAGTAATTGACGGTACCTTCGCTATGCTTTCCATTGGCTAATCAGGGCGATATGCAAATTAACAGCCAACAAAGATGGCAGTTAATTTGCATACTAGGCTCCAAGAGGTGGAGCGAAGCCAAACATACCCGAAGTCTGCCGAACAACGAGGCCTCACGGCCCTGGGATCAGCGGAGCCACAAGGCCTCACAGCCCCGGGATCAGCAGATCCCCGAGGCCTGACGGCTTGCGGGGGGGCCTTTGGCCGGAGCCCAGCCAGAGGGAAGGCCTGGGTCCCAGGTGCCAGAGGAAAACTTCCTAGGGGAAGGGAAGGCCTATTGCACGAATCTCTTCTTGCAACAAGCCTCTAGTATATATATATTAGAGGCCCGGTGCATGAAATTCATGCACAGGAAGGATCCCTAGGCCTGGCCGGAGATCAGGGCTAATCAGGGCCTTCAGCTGCCCGTTGCTGGCCATGACCTGCCACTGCTGACCACCCCTTGGTGGTCAGTGCACATCATAGTGAACGATAGAACTGCCAGTCTCCTGGTCAAACTCCCTAGCGGACACTTTGCATATTAGCCTTTTATATATCTAGATTTTTAATAGTTTGGAACCATAATAGAATAGTTGGTATGAAAATTGTGGAGCATGTATCTTAACTGCACAAATATTTGTTTCTTCAAGCTGTTTACTTAAAAATAGGCCATAAGTTTTGGATATCTTTACCTACTAAGATAATGATTCATTGTATCCAAAGAAATTACTTAATAGCAGAATGTTAGGGTTTTATTTGGTCCATATGCTCACCTTGGAATTATCAGATATTTTTAATTTTACAAAATATAGAATATATCTATGCATTTTGACAATCATTTTAACTTTTTAGAATATAATGGCATTAGTCACTTTTAATATGATCATTGAAATTTGGATTTACTCTTTTTATAGTGGATTTTCAAGTCCTTTGTCCATTTTATAGAGTTCATTTTTTATTGATTCATATACAGTTCTCTATATATTTAGATGCTTATCATTCATTAATTATATGTGTTGGAAATACCATCCTACACATGGTGGCTTTCTCACTTCCGCATTTGGGCTTTTACACAATGCTGATACATTTTTATTCTCTTTTTGGTATCTTGTGATTACTTGAATTCTTAATTTTAATGTGCTGTTTTTATTAGTATTAAAGATTAGCATTCCTTTAAGATTGATATTTAAAAACTCCTTCATTATTATGATTTCATCAAGATAGTTTCTTATATCTTTAACACCCTATGGTTTTTCCTTTGGATTGATCTATTCTTTGGGCTGAGTCAAGGAACACTTTTCATTTGTTAATATCCCCCTCCCACTATGATTTATTAAAAAGTATATTATTTCCCCATTTTTCTGTCACTTTTGTCATATATACTGGGTAGGGTAAAAGTAGGTTTACAGTTGTTCATGTGGAAAATAATTAATAAATAAAAATACAAGAATAAACTGTATTCCTATACTCCCAATTGTAAACCTACTTTTGCCTCGCCCTGTATATGTGTATGTGTGTGTCTGTTTCTGTGTGCACAAGATTGTTATTTTGATTACTTTATTTCTAACACTAAAGTGGTCGTATTTACAGAGCATGGCTTTATAGAAAGTCCCAATGTTCTCCCATTTTATTCTTTTTTTTGTCAACAGTGTCTATTAAGTTGTGGGACAATTGGTCTTGCCTGCAATGCCAATTAGTATAGAACCCAAGGAGTAGGGAAAATTGAGGACATCTTTTAAAGCTCTTTTGGGAGTCTCTTGTCTCCTGTGGTAGAGGTGTGGTTGATGTGAATTGAGAATTCTCACTTTAATTATGATGAAAGAAATGACCCTTTCTCAGTTGTGTGGTTATAGAAGCTGGATCGTGAGATACCCATACTCTGAGGCAGCACATTTCTATTACATACTCCTCTTCTTTCTCTCTATTTTTTTCCGTGTTTTGTCAAATATAGGATAGTCATAAGCAATTCTTTGTTCCTCTTTCTTTTCATTTACCTCTTTTGGAAAATAAGCTATTTGAATTAAGTTAATTTTAATCCTAGTTCTCATTTAGACAAAGGAGTTAAGTTGCTATTAGTTTCTACACTAAGGACTCTTTTGTAAAACATGTTCTCTTAGATACTTTCAATCTGATATTTTTAAATTAATTTTTGCACATACATAAATTTCATAATGCCCTTTGCATATCTGTCCTACTGAAAAATAATAATACACATTTTTAAAAATAGGTTTATTATACAAGAAACATTTGGACCAAATAATTTATGTGATTTCTTAATAATTGATAGCTTTATGATAAAAAAATTGTTATATTTGTTTTCTTCAATATGCCTTTTGATATTTTTATTATAGTTCATTTTACAGGAAGGCAAATAACAGTAACTAATGATAATGGTAGATTTATTTAGAATGAATGTGAGTTAAATAGGACACTTCTTTTTTGAACAGTTTAAAGACATGTATAAGAAAATCCAGATATTATAGATTATTGAATGTGGTCAATTGAATTTAAATCTTTCAGAATCCAACTATTATTGATGTGAGTATTATTATAATCTTTATCTTTTCCACATGCATTCAAAAATAGAATTTTTTATTTCTTAAAGAATATAATGCATGCTAAAATAAAGTTGTTAAAATTGCTCATTTTGCAAAATGTTCTCTATATTTGGTTATAACCACAAACTTAATTGTTTCTGAAAAGAATATGTTCTACTTTGAAAATAAACCAAAACATACAAACTCAATATATATTTCTCATAACTAGAGATGTATCAAAATCATCCATGGGACACCTACATTACTAAACACTATTATAAATATTTTATTATTAATGTTAGCTTTTATCTCCCTGAAATAGTCATCTTCTTGAATCATACTGTTCTCCTACATTGCATTTTTTTAAGTCCTGGATTGAACAGCAAAACCATTTCAACATATTTCATATTTTTACTTGCCTGTGCTCAAAATGTGTTCATTTCTAGTAAAGAAAACTATAAATAATATTTTGACTCTTTTATAAGGTTTTAAATCAACCATATGTAGAAAGCTGATAAGTAAAGGAACAGAATAAATTGCAAATCTATTATGTTCTCTTTTTTTCTTTTTAGTATACAATTTCTGGTAGGTTGTTTGTGATGCATTATATCCTGTGTCCAAACTGTCAAAATGGTGAGTAGAGATACACAGTATAGCTTCCACTGACTTTAACAGAAGTAGATGAGCAATTTTTGAGATGCCAGTTGTCTGGCTACACAGACAATACGATTAGCCAAAGTGGCTCATGATATGACAAACGAAGGAGATGAATTTCTCATTCTAATTCTGCTTATGTCAAGTGAATCTGCATGCACAGAATAGTCAAAAATAAAAATATTTTTGGATTCACATTAGACCTTATTATGATTGTATTTAAAAAAAACACATGTGTTTTATAGGCTCTATAAACAAAAGGCAATTAGTTAAGAAATAAAATATTATTTAAGGAGAATTCTGAGTCATCTTTTAGGTGGAAAATAATCTTCTTATGACCAGGAATTTATTCAAATTCTAAGAATAAATTTTTATAATACTAAATATAAACAATGTTAAACAGGTATATAAACCTGTCATTTAGCTAAATTACTATTGAGAATTTTATATACTTAATGGTATATACTGATTTGTACTGTTTGTACTCATTGTGATACCATGGAATGTATATAAACTGTGGACTCAGTGTTTGGTACAGATCAACACTTTCAGCCTTATATTTGATGTATGGTATTAGAAAAGTTACTCATCCTTCCTGAATCTAATTTTTTCATTTGTTAGTGAAGAATAAAAATATCATCTATACTACAGACTTATGAAAGTTATTTATACAAAATTAAATTAGATGGTGAGACCAAAACACCTTGCACTTAATGGCAACAGTTGCTGAATATACTTGCTTTTTTGTTGTTGTTTTCCCCGCAATGTCTTATGCATTGTGATACTTTTTTACTCTTTTTCAAATTTCATACATATCTTTTTGAGTTTTAGAGTCTATCAACTATATGTTATTAAACTATTACAGGGGAAATTAAAAATTAGAGAAGTTAAGTCACTTACTCAAAGAGCAACACTAATGTGGAATTCCTACTCTAGACATGTAATTAGGTCCTAGGAGTCAGCAATTAAAAAAATAGGAACAAAAAGGCTAACTTACACACATAACTTAGCAGAGAAAGTAGTTTAAATAAGTAATTAGAAAAAATGTTTGATATATTGTATAATTAGTGTAATATGTATGAATCCAACTATTAAGAAATAGAGAGTGTGTCAAATCTCAGAGACAAGGAGGGGGTGTGTGGGTGGGAAGAGATCAACCAAAGAACTTGTATGCATATATGCATAACCCATGGACACAGACAATAGGGTGGTGAAGGCCTGGGGTGGTGGGGTTGGGGAGGAGCTAGAAGGGGTAAGTGAGGGATAAAAGGAGTCATATGTAATACTTTCAACAATAAAGATTTTTTTAAGAAAAAAATAGATTTAATCAATAAATAGCAAATTACATGTTTATTTTACAGAACTTGGACTTTAGAGATGGGTCACTTCAGGCCATGCAGTAATAGCACAGTGGCATTACTGTCTCATTTTCCCTCCATCTTCTCATTCCATTATTCATAGCATGAAGTACCCATCCTTAAGTTACCACCATATCTCAAAGTGTCTGCTGTAGTTCCAACCATAGAATCCATGCTCTAAACTGAAAGGAAAAGTAAAAAAGGCAAAACTTTAAAAGTGAACTAATGGAACAGACAACAGAAATGTCCAGGTACCTATTTTTCACTAAATAAACTCTCACAGATTTCAAGTAAATGATGCAAAATAAAATCTTATTTTTAGTCCAGTAATGTCATCTTATTGAATTCATCACTTT